GGGTTCTGGTGCTGCTGAGACACCCCCCGGCCCGCCCTGCTACTGCGGGGCCACACCCCCAGGTCCTCATGGGCATATTATACACGTTCCACCGCTGAGCTGAATCTCCAGCCTCCTCTTAGTTTTTCTTTTGAGGCGGGTCTCCTTACAAAGGAGGCTGGCCTACAACACGTTCCCTAGTCCAGGTGGGTCTTGAACTTCCAGCCCTCCTGACTCATTCTCCCGAGTATCTGGGACGGCAGGCCCACCCACCAGGCCTGGCTCAGGCTCTCCCTCCTTGCAATCACAGATGCTCCTTCCTGACTCCTTTGTCCTCTGTGTACGGCTTTTTTTTTTTTTTTTTATTCACCCAGAGCCTCCTCCTTAGGCCAGGATCCATGGCTCCTGGGACCAGAATCAAGGACCTGGAATCCCAGGCTACATCAGTGCAACAGGCCCATCAGCCATTGCTCGCGTCGAGGCCAATCATGCTGCTCACCTTGCCTGCCCCAGCAAAGGATTACCTTTGTCTCTCCATAACCTCCTTCTGCTTCTGCATCCTGCTGGCGATCCCAGCGCTGGTGTTTTCCTTTAAGGTGGGTACCATCCCAGCTCCTGGGCACAGCCCTGCCCTCTCCACCATCTGGCTTCATGCCCCTTTTGGTTCCTTCCACTCCGGGCCCCTGCTTAGGCCCAACTCTCACCCAGCCCTCCTCTTGGTTACTTCTTCCTCCGTTGGGGACTGAGTCCCGCCCTTTTCTCCCTCATCTCACATCGGGTTTTTCCGGGATGTCCCTCCCCTCGCCCCTTTCCTCTCGGAAACCATCTTGCCTGCTTGGCCTTCACCTGCACAGACCCGGGAAGCCAACTATGACGGGGATTGGAGGAGAGCACAGAGGAACTCCAGGCTGGCCTTGGCCTTCAGCGTCTCCAGCATCCTCGTGGGGTGCATTCTGATGGCCAGCTCCATCACATTAATCCTTGAGACAGAAGAAGTGACATCATCCTGAAAGCCTGCCTATTCTTGGAGCTTCCGACCTCAAACACCAGCCTCTGCCTGTGCCGGGGAAGCCTTCAATGTCGCAACACGAAGAGCAATAAAGATTTGGAGGAGGTTCCTTCCTTCCTGTTCACCTGCCGTGTGTGTGTTGGGGGGCCTGGGTACTTGTTCTCACGGCACCGTGGGTCTGCTTTTGAGAGTGGACGTTTATCCACAACAGTGCCGGGCACATGGATGTGTGCCTCTTTACTGATGATTTCACTCATGACTGTAAAGGGAAGACGGGCATGGCGTCTGTTTTCACGTCTTTGCTGCTGGGCTAAGGCTCCATCCCCAGGAGAAACTTAAGGAAGCCAGGGTTTCTTTCAGCCTCATGGCTCCACAGAGGAAGGGGCTAGCATGCTGGGGAAGCATGGCTTAGAGGGAGCAGGGAGCAATGATTGAATTTTTTTCTTTACCCAAGAGGGAGAATGAGCTCTCCTCAGGGCCATGCTTGCTCCAGCAGCAAGGCTCCGCCTTCGACAGGCTCCACACCTTCCCAAACAGCTCCATCCACTGGGGACCAAGTGCTCAAACCCACGAGGCTAGGGGGACATTCCTCATTCAAATCACCTCTGGGTCGCATGTCTGTCATCCCAGAAGTTGGGCGCCGGAGGCAGCAGGATGGGAGTTTCAGGCCAGCCAGGGTTCTGTAGTGAGACTCTCCCTCAGAAAACAAATAAGTACAATGACTTGCATATGTAATGTCAGCCCCAGGGAGGCTTGGACAGGGGGAGCCCTGAGTGAACTACAGGCTCAGAAACAAGCAAAAACTTAAAACTTAAACTTAAAGGCGTGGTCGTGCACGCGCCTTTAATCCCAGCACTCGGGAGGCAGAGGCAGGTGGATCTCTGTGAGTTCGAGGCCAGCCTGGTCTACAAGAGCTAGTTCTGGAACAGCATCCAAAGCCAGAGAAACCCTGTCTCAAAAAACCAAAAAACCAAAACAACAAAAAACTTAAAACTACAGCAACAGCAAAATAAAAACAACAAAAACCCTTCTGTTTACTGGGTTGGGGATCTAGTTCGGTGGTCAGGCACTTGCTTAGGCTGAGGAAAGCCAGGAGTTCAATTCCCAACGCTGTATGGTGGCGCACACCTTTAATCCCAGCACTCGGGAAGCAAGAACAGAGTCTGGGCCAGCCTGGACTACGTAGCAGATTTCAGGCCAGCCAGTACTACCTATGAAAACCTGTCTTGAAAGCAAAACAAGGGGGCTGGAGAGATGGCTCAGCGGTTAAGAGCATTGACTGCTCTTTCCGAAGTCCTGAGTTCAATTCCCAGTAACCACATGGCTCACAACCCTCTGTAATGAGATCTGGCGCCCTCTTCTGGCCTGCAGGAGTACATTCAGATAGAGCACAAAATACATAACATAAAAAAAATCAAAAAAAAAAAAAAAAAGCAAAGCCAGCAACGACAACAAAAAACAAGCCAGGCAGTGGTAGCACACACCTTTAATCCCAGCACTCAGGGGGCAGAAGCAGGCGGATCTCTGTGAGTTCGAGGCCAGCCTGGTCCATAGAGTGAGCTCCAGGACAGCCAAGGCTACATACAGAGAAATCCTTGTCTTGAAAAACAATGCCCCCCCCCAAAAAAAAACCAAGACAAAACCAAGACAAAACAATATTGAGAAGACACTGAGAAAGAATAACTTGTAAAGTCACAAGATCACCCTGTCTAATGACTTCAGTGACAGGGATGCTGTCTGTTCTGTTCAGTGTTGAAGCCAGTACCCAAATGTGCTGTGCCTTGTGCATTGTAGGAGGTCAAGCTTTGATTGTACTGAATTTAAAAACCCATTCAACCTGCCCTTTGCTGTTAGGAGCTACCATAGCTGGACAGTGTTTCTGGACAGTGGTAACTATGATGAAACTGGGAGACTAACTCTGGCGGGGAGCTAACGGCTGAGCTGTGACCTGAGGCACCACAGACAGAGCCATAAAAATATCTGGGGCATAGTTCCCATAGTGCTTTCCTAGTGTGCGGGGAACTGTGGAGTCCATTGGTTCTGGATTCCATCCAGAAACTGGGTGTGGCCCACCCTATAAACTCCAGGACTTTGCAGATGAAGGCAGAAGAACCAGAAATTCAAGGTCATCCTTGGCTACACAGAGTATGAGGCCAGTTTGAGACCTTGTCTAAAAGAAACGGGCTCGGGATGAAAAGAAAGTTTAAAAGCTTCCAACCTGAACACCAAGTCGTGAGTCGGGAAGGGGCCTGGCTTATTCTGGGAGTTGACACAAGTGGGAACCTTGGGCTGGAGAGATGGCTCAGTGGTTACAAGCACTGGTGGACTTGCAGAGATCTCTTCAGCACCCATGACAAGCGGCTCACATTAGCCTGTAACTCCAGCTCCAGGGAATCTGATACTCCTTTCTGGGCTCTGTGGACAGGTGCACCCATACATACAGGTTCCCACTCAGACACACACAGATTGTAAACTGAAGTAAGTCTTCAAAAAATGATTGAGTTGGGCTGGAGAGATGCTCAGAGGTTAAGAGCACCGACTGCTCTTCCAGGGGTCCTGAGTTCAATTCCCAGCAAACACATGGTGCTCACAGCCATCTGTAATGAGATCTGGTGCCCTCTTCTGGCCTGCAGGGATACATGCAGGCAGAGCATTGTATACATAATAAATAAATAAAATCTTTAAAAAAATGATTGAGTTATATTGGATGTAAAAGAACTTTTAAGAAGTGTGTGTGTGGCCAGGCGTTGGTGGCACATGCCTTTAATCCCAGCACTCGGGAGGCAGAGGCAGGCGGATCTCTGTGAGTTCGAGACCAGCCTGGTCTACAGATCGAGTGCCAGGATAGGCTCCAAAGCTACACAGAGAAACCCTGTCTCGAAAAACCAAAATAATAATAATATATATATATATATATGTGTGTGTGTGTGTGTGTGTGTGTGTGTGTGTGTGTTAGGAATTGAGCCCAGCATTGTACTCATTAAGCAAGCACTCCAGTCATAACTTAGGTGGGCTCTGAACTGGAAGATGAATCTTGATTTTCCTGCCTCTGTTTCTGTAAGGAGCCTTGTAACCAGGCAGGTAAAGGCCTGGCTGAAGAAAGGTTAAAAAAAAAAAAAAAAAAAGGGAGCATAGGCCCACTACCCGGCCATTGTAGATAAAAGTGAGAATGTGTGGAGTGTGGCAAAGTGGGATTAGCACAATTTAGCAAACTATTTAAGGACCAGCTCAGAACTGGAAACTTAAAAGTGTACCATGACTCTAAGTGTCCCAGAGCTCTCTTCCGCTAACCTGAAACAATCAGTCCATCAAGCTGAGTGCTGAGTGCTGCCCGTTCTGAACCCGATTCCACCGACACCGGGCCCTCCTCAGGAGACTCGAAGGCCTGAATCCAGAGGAACAGAAGTTGCAAGCCTGAAGCTGCAGGCCGCTGCAGGAGAGGTACCCCTGCTGTGAGCCTATTATCTGTGGTTCTTAGGATTGTTTGCTTATGCTTATGCATTACTTTGACATAAGTGTGAAGTAAAACTTATGTACTTAAAATCAACTCAGCAGAGTTTGTCATTCCTCCCAGGTCAAAACCTGGCAAGGGCTCGAGACAGTTTCTTAGTGCTGGATTGTAGGAGGCACCACCTGGCTCTTCCTCAGCAAATATCAAAGCCCCCACGCTAACCCTCTGGCCCTTCTCCTCTCTTCACTCACTGTGGTTGCTCCCAGGCTGTTCTAGATTCCCTCCCCACCCCGTTCTTTATAACCCAAAAGGTTGTTTTCTTCTGCCTCGCCCCTCTCTCTACACTCCTCTCTGTTCCCAAGACAGCCCTGGCCCCGGCCAGTCTGCCCCCATCTCTGCTCCCCACCTCAGAGGTAGCCATGGCATTTCTGGACTCCCATAGATGCTTCAGGCTCTTCTCTCTTCCATGCTTACATATTTACCTGCATTTCAAATGCACCGTGGAGTGGTCCAGTCTGTGGTTTCACTGCACAGGCTTACAGCACGTTAGTTACTGTTATGTCAGCCTGGCAGAAGATCTGGCAGAGAAAGGGTTGGAAGGGTTTATTTCTGAGTTTCCCAGGGATCCCAGGCCATGGTGAGGCTCATGGAGGCAGCTCCATCTTTAGCAGCAGAAGTGTGAGGTAGCAGCTGGCCCATAAGGCTCAGGCTAGTAAGCAAAGACCACAGACACGATGTTCAAAGCTCCGTCCCCAGTGACACACTTCTCCTGGCCAAGCCCCGCAGCCAAGGCTCCACAGCCTTCAAGACGATGCTACAAGCTGAGGGCCAAGTGTTTGAGACATGAACCTGTGGTGGACGTTTCAGAATCGAATACACTACTTAATAAACACGGAGCCAGGCGGTGGTGGCGCACGCCTTTAATCTCAGCACTCTGGAGGCAGAGGCAGGCGGATCTCTGTGAGTTCGAGGCCAGCCTGGTTTACAAAGCTACACAGAGAAACTCTGTCCTGAAAAACATAAAATAAACGTGGGCTGGCACGTTGGCCCAGTGGGAAATGTACTGATTCCAAGGCTTGGTTTGATCCTGGAAGCATAAAGCATGGGAAGAGAGAATCAACTCCCGCAAGGTGTCCTCTGACCTCCACAGCTGTGCCATGCCAGGAACACACACACACACACACACACACACACACACACACACAC